AAGAGAGCTGAAGCAAGTCGTGGTGGCTTGTTTTGTCAAGGATACCCTTGGACACGCCGAGAACTAATTCAGCTCCGCAAGCAACTTCAATAAAGCTCACATATGTATTATTGTGTCGGATATCTCGGTAGACATTCTTGCATGGAATGGCCGACAATGATATTTCCTAGTTGTTTACCATTTTCCAGCCTCAAACCCCGATAGCATTTGCAATGGCCTCGCCGACACCCCTGGCCGAAGCAGGATTCTGACCAGAAATAATCAAGCCATCAACTACAACCTTCTCCCCCCAAGGCTGATCCGCAGCGTGGAAATTGGCGCCTACCTTTTTCAGCTCGTCCTCAAGCAAGAAAGGCATAGCAGCGCTGAGCTGGACCTGGTCCTCCTCGACATTGGTAAAACCAGTCACATTCTTGCCCTTGAGAAGCGGCTCGCCGCTCTTACCTTTGGCATCTCGGAAGACAATGGGCCCGTGGCAGACAGCGGCAACGGGCTTGCCCGCGTTATAGAACTCCTCGATCAACTTGATGGAGTCTTGATCCGTGACAAGGTCATACATGGGGCCGTGCCCCCCCGGGTAAAAGAGTGCGTCGAATTCGTCGGAACGACCAATAAACTCCTTCAGGGGGGTTGTTTTCTCCCAGACCGACTTGTGGTTGTTGAGGAAGTTGACAGATGACTCGTCGCTTTTGAACATGTCAATCGAGCTAGGATCGAGGGGAGCAATACCACCCTTTGGAGAGGCTACGACGATCTCTGCCTTGGGAGCCAAAACATCATGTGGATGAGCCAATTCCGGCTGCCAGAGATGGTTAGCGAATCGATCTCCATCCCGAGAGGTGAAACTAGTCCATGTATTTGTGGGAATGATTATTTGTCTCGTGGAGCTCTGACGGGAAATATCTCGGCGCTAGGACGTAGCTCAGCCTGGAGGATTTCACGCACAAGGTACCAGCCCGTGGGCTTGTCCAGCTTGACAATTTTGTCAGCGCTGGTGAGAACAACGAGAACTTTTTTGGCCATTATGACGGTATTATTGCAGTTTTCCGTAATATCAGCCGGGCTGCTCTTGGTAGATGGGCGATTGCAAACAAGAGAGGCTTCCACAGTTGTGTGGCGGAAGGTCTGGCGTGTAAAGCCTAGAAGCGGGGTATCTCCAACCAGGATGTCTTTGTGGATGCAATATTCAAGACTTTTGTAAGTGCTGTTGGGAGTAGCTCGTGATGGGCATGAGGGTTCGCACACGCTTCTTTTTATAGGTACTAATCTCTATTAACTACAAGTTCCTCCATCCCTCCCTTTGCCATGCACAATTGATGTTCGAGTTACCAGATGAGCGTATTATAAATGTGTACGGGCTTCGCGCTGGTCACTCATGACCCACTTGTAGCCCATCCATTGACGACAGCCACATACACTATTGACGTCATGATACGAAATGAAGCTTCAACCTGTCAACTTCAGAATTAAGACTATTTGAGGTGATCCATCAAATAGTTATTGAACATGTGTAGACGAATGAGCATGAGTATAGTTTTAGATTCCTAAAAAGGGGGTGACTGCGTCTTTCGTCCCATTCAGCACATTACAGCGACTGCATGTCTTTTCGAAAGCAAGTTTCTTTTCCTAAACGAGACCCGTGATATAATTTACAACATGGCGGAATAGCTACTAATACGACCTTATACTAGAACACACGTCAAGTTCCGCATGGTGCATCGTGTGAATTCCCTCTTGCCTCTTCCCGCTCGCTGGCACACGCCGCTGGAGTGGATTCATTGCAGGTGTTGATCAGGAAGAATGGGAACGCTCTTCTGTGGCGGAGCAAGGTCACTTTTGTGGTTCACCAGTCGCAACAACGACATGTGTGTTTTCGGCACCATCCAAGTTCGGTTGGCTGCTACGGTACCACGAGCGTCGGAGTGCCTGAACGATATGTTCCGAAGGGATTTTTCCGTTCTGCATGCTTCGTGGAAGAAGAGGATTGGGAATGATGGAAGAAATTCGCATACGAAAGCTAGGACTGCCAATTCATGCTCGTTTATTAGGAATTGAACGTGTATGGTGGACAAGCCTAGATGTCTCCAAATTGTACAGTACCACCTGTGCCGTACGTACGAATCCGTGGTAAACAGCAATCCAGAAGAGGTCATCATATAATGCTTGAAATGTTATTTCCGGCTAACCGACATGCAAATCTTAAAAAGTCACCGTCTCTACACTCATCTGTCGATGACCGTATGAGAGGTGCCATGGTCCACAGGAGAAGACCGGCGCGAAAGGCATCGTACGGCTCCCGCGGCATGTTGTAGGGATAGGACCGGGAGATGGCGAGCAGCTGCGCACTAAGACGGGCCATACGGCGGGGCTGGACGGGATCAGCATTGGCCCACGCCCGCAGCCGGCGCTCCGCAATTGATCCTTTCCGGCTTCGGCTCCGGCCCCGGCCCCGCACTCCTGCCACCAGTACATGTCAGCATCGAGCGGCACAAAGTCGCCGACGTGGTCTGCGGCAATGATTTGCGCCACGAGCAAGATGCACGCCCGGTGGATAAGGCCCTGGAACTCTCGCTCCTCGTACGATCCCCCCAGGCAAAACTCCAGTCCATCAGCGACACAAATGTTGCGTATTTTCGGCAGCCTCTCGGAGCGCCGTGGTCGTGAGTCCGCTCAATGGCGACCAGTTGCGAGCCGAGTTTGAGCCTCTCCGGAGAATACAACGCGGTGGGCACTAATCATGAATGTACCTGTTTCTTTCAATTTGGCAGCCCCTGATTCCCATATTATAGCAAATTACTCCGAACAATTCAAGATGTACCCGTTGTGAACTTGACATGGTCTCTTCCTTTGAATAGTCAGTGCTAGGCAGGCTCGGGACTGTGCGACATGTGAATCCTCACCATGATGCAAGAGTCAAGCACGAGATGCTGTAATTCCTCTCCAAGACCTGTCGTGGGATTCTTTCGAAAAATGCGACGTATATATGTTGAACTCGTCTGTGTTCTGATGCCTGCGCACCTCCCAGCCGAGATGTAACGAACCAAACCGTTCGGATATTTGAGAGAGCGACACATCATGCTAGGAGCTCGGTGATAGTCTTAATACTTTAAAAGCTGTTCGTATTGGTGCTCGGGGAACGAGGGATCTGAATAGCATAAGCCTCAGGGGCCGCGAAACTTCCGAACTGACTTACCCCTCTTCAACGTCTCGTCCAGCAACTTCGGAATGGTGATTAGCAAGCTCATCATTAGAGTAACCTGTTTTCTGGCCTTTTCTTGTTCAAGTTTTCTATCTACTGAGCATACCCTCCACGTCCCACAGTCCTGCATTTTTCTCAAATCACCACTTGGGCTTACGAAACCAGGCCGGCTGATGTTGCTGACGACGAACTCCATGCAGCCGCCCCATGCACCCTATCTGACATCGTATTTGGGGCGGTAACCATCACCAGTGTCCGCGGCCTCGGCGGATCGATGGCAGCGTTCCCGCTGGTTGGCATGATCGGACGGCGCCAGCTCCTCCTCTCTTCACGGGCAGCATCTCGTGCGGGTTGTGTATGCTCCTGTTTGCCATTGTCGGCGCCGCCAAGCCCAACAGCATCGCGGCCGCCGACATTCTCGCAGCGTGCGCGCGTGTGTATCTGTTTGCCTACGGGGCAACCATTGCAGGCACTATCTGGAGCTTCCGGAGACCAAGGACCGCACCCTGGAGGGGATTGACGACATGATTCTCAATATGCGTTGCACAGGCCCTGTTTATATTTCGCGTCGTTGGCTACCCCTTATCCAATGTCATCATTGCTTCGTGCTCTGTGCTCTTGCTCAAGTATTTCCGTCCAACATCTTTCCACCAGAAAATTCAGACGCTACGTCTGCACCGGCCAAATCGGACATGGTGACAAACGGGTGGTAGCCGAGGTTGAGAAAGCACCGTGTGGCGAGGTAAGGTAAAAACCGCCGTATGGGAACACCCACTTCGCGGCGGTGTGGCAAGGCTCGTCCTGGGAAGAAGTTGGAAACATGGTTTTTGATCGTGGAGGTTGGAAGTTTTTCATAGTTCCCATATGCCAGTGGCACAACATTGTGAATCACTACATGACTGGGGCTAATGAACTGTGCAACGTATTGATTCCATCGAATTTTCGCTGCGTGTAAGCATGGCATAGATGCCACTGATACCAAGTGGGGATAAAAGCCTCTGCAAGCAGAGTGCGACGAGGCATTTTCGTACTCTTCGCTCGGCGGCCAATTTCCGGCTGCTCCATATCCAACTAGTTTACACTTAGCATCGTGCAAGAGTAGTACGGTGCAAAGGGAGGATTTGAAGCCATCAGGGTGTCAAACAATCAAAGTTGCATAGCTCAACTATTCAATTAACGAGCAACCTGGCATCCATCAGCGGCCATGGTGTAACGGTTAGCATGGCTGATTTCCATTCAGCCGATTCGGGTTCGACTCCCGATGGCCGCATTCTTTTTTTCACCTTTGGTTTCCATTATATAATATCCAATTTTTTTTTTTTGACTCCCATTGCACTTTTTGGTGCTCTGCGTGCCAATGCCTTTTGGTGAGAGTCTAGTAATTCAGTGTCTCTCTTGTTCAAACAAGGAACAATTGGTTCCCGCCCTGTGTCAACGGAACACTCCCACGGCTCGCGCCTAGTACGGCACTTACACGCGTCCTGATCCGTCTCACATGAGCCCCGTCGGCAACTAGGATCACGACTTGAAAGCCAAAGCTTCATCCAGCTGTAAGATGCCAACGTGTACACAACGTTACAATGACGTTATCAGACCCAAACACTCGAGCAATTTTATCTATGAACCAATACCAGACATTTAAGCTACGAATGCACGTCGAGATAACTTCACAGTACAAGTATAAACAAGTGGGTAGCATGCCGAGTCGATATCATATATTAGGATATTATATAATTATTGTCATTCGAATACAATTCCCAAAATCCCCAACATGCCCAAAAATCTCTTTTAAATCACCCCCTTACAGCAAGGCAATAGCACCCAGGGCAAGGAGAACCTTGGCCGGGGCCAGGGCACCAGCACCGGCGGTGACGGGAGTGGTAGAGTTACCAGAGGGCTTGGCGGCGGTGGGAGCAGGGGCAGGGGGAGGAGCAGGGGCAGAAGCACCGGTGCAAGAGGCCTTGCAGCCCTCAAAGTTGGAGACGCAGGTGGACAGGTTGGCACCAGACTTGCCGCGGCACTGGTCGTAGGTGGCCTGGCACTTGTCGTTGCAGCCCGGGGCGGGAGCAGGGACAACGGTAGGCGAGACGGGCTTGGAGGGAGCGGCCGTGGTGGCACCGGTGCAAGAGGCCTTGCAGCCCTCAAAGTCGGAGACGCAGGTGGACAGGTTGGCACCAGACTTGCCGCGGCACTGGTCGTAGGTGGCCTGGCACTTGTCGTTGCAGCCCGGGGCGGGAGCAGGGACAACGGTAGGCGAGACGGGCTTGGAGGGAGCGGCCCGCCTTGCAGCCCTCAAAATCGGAGACGCAGGTGGACAGGTTGGCACCAGACTTGCCGCGGCACTGGTCGTAGGTGGCCTGGCACTTGTCGTTGCAGCCCGGGGCGGGAGCAGGGACAACGGTAGGCGAGACGGGCTTGGAGGGAGCGGCCGTGGTGGCACCGGTGCAAGAGGCCTTGCAGCCCTCAAAGTCGGAGACGCAGGTGGACAGGTTGGCACCAGACTTGCCGCGGCACTGGTCGTAGGTGGCCTGGCACTTATCGTTGCAGCCCGGGGCGGGAGTAGGGACGGCGGTGGGCTGGACGGGCTTGCTGATGGTGCAGGGGCAGTCGGTGATTGTCAGGGTGGTGGCCGAGGTGATGGTGTAGGTCTTGTCGCCGTGGGTGAGGGTCGTGGGGGCAGGGCAGTAGGTGGTCAGGGCCGTGACGACCTCGGTGGTGTAGACGATGTGGCCGGTGGCCGTGCCGTTGTTGTGGACGCCGGCGATGGCGGAAGCAGAGGCCACGGCAGAGCCGAGCACAACCATGCGAAGGGAGCTCATTGTGAGAGTGGTTTTTGTAGTTTTTATGTACGTGAAAAAAGAGGGACAGTGGTTGCAACCTAGCGAAGGGAATAAGGCTCGAGTGTGTTTGCCAAAGAGTCTTGCTTGCGGATCGTCGGGGAGGGTGGCCAAAGGGGCATCTTTATACCACCCTTCACGGCCGTGTTTTGCCCCCTAGGCGGGGAACAGACCCAGAATTGGAAAGAAAAAACACAGCACGAACGTAAGGAGTAGTAGCAGCAGACTCGAGGTGACAACAACAGCCGCCATGGCACGAGTGGCGAGGCCGAGTTCCTGGGCGTAGCACGGCGTACCTGCATGGCTTAGTACGTGCATACTACCAGCATCCTGGAGGGCCTCACGATACTAGTCCCACTATACTCCGTACCGAGGGAAGCCAGCGCCGGGCAAAACGGAATTTCTCCCTATCGAGCAGCACAGCAGGGGTTCTGCCCCCAGTGTGGTTGCTGACCGTGTGCTTGCCAAGCCATCAGGCCATCGCTCAGCCCAATAGGCACCGCGTGCTTCAAGGCAGTTCCTGAGTTCCTCTGCCTTGATGTGGGTTCCTGGTCACACAACGGTCTAGTCCTTTGGGCACAAGCGGGTGGATATGTGGTAAAAAGGGGTGTCGACTCGGTCAAGTACTCCCAAGCTCGTATCCGGAAATTGATCTAGTCGCCATTTAGAGTTTTTATTCGCAGCATAGCAGGGCGGTTTGCGGGTTGTCGGTGGACGCAGTGCGGATTTGACTCCTCTCGGTCGACATTGCAGCGAGACAAGCATCGAGACGAGCATCGAGACGAGCATCGAGACGAGCATCGAGCAGTGGTAACCGCCTGTTGGACGTCATGACCGGTTGCGGGCAACGGTTTGGCCAAAACACGCTGCCAGTTTGCCGATCGAGATGGGGGATGCGACCACGGCTGCTCGGTACAGCCTAGCACTGGCACTACTCGGCAGATTGTCAGCTATGGATTCTGATATATGACGTCGAATGGAGTGGTGTGGTGGAGATGGTGCTCGCGAGATGCATCCACTCAAGGTCCTCGACTCTTGACGAGATACGAGTCGCCGGCGCGACGGAGCAATTTCAGAATACGGACGGCTTCATCCCAAGGCTGTCTGTTTCACGACACGTTTCTGCCGCTGATGGGAGCGTCCGAGCCAGACATGGCAGATGATGCATGCTTCCCGTGTGATGCTGTGTCATGCTGTGTGATGACAGAGCCCTCGGGCCAGTCGGATCGCGCCGTCGTTTTGCTCCGTTTCAGCAGCGCAAAAGGAATTCAAACGTCGCTCGCTCCCTTTGCTCCGCCCAACGTGGAATGCCAATCTCCACTGCATTAGTCAACACTAAATCTAATCTCCTGCCAGCAATAGGACGCCTCGGTCAGCGCTCGGTACCACCAGTTTCAGCCATGAGCCACGAAGCAAAACGGCGCGTCTTGACTTGTTCGCATTGAGCTCGAAATGAATTGACAATGCAAACTTAATCAGGAATTCACGTTGCATTGACTTGTTTATTGCGGTGTAGTCCTTACTTTGTTTTGCCCTTGTGGCAAGTGGGTCGGGTTAGGGTTGTGCACAGAGAGACAATTGTATTGTATTTGCATGTGTTCTTGGTGTGGACAATTCCCGTAGCACATGCTCCGTGGTGGCATTGCACACGGTGAGGAAATCTCCATGTACGGAGTACATACGATACTATAACTCATACATGCGCGATACTCTCATTGAATAGCGGTTCCGTATGAGGGCGGTAGCAAGTCGGGGACACCAGCATCCCAAGACAAGCTGAAAGCTCGAAAAGTGCCAAGCGCTAAGAAGCAAGGATCAAGACGGGCACATTACACGAGCTTACCAAGATTGCGCCGGTTATTTGCTTGTCCACAATGTACACGAGCTGTTTGAGTCTCAGATGAGAGAAGATCTGTAGCCGCCATGGAATGCAACTCTCCGAAGGTTCGCAACTAGTACGGAGTATCACGCTTGCCTTTGCGCTTGACCCCAATGCAGAGCGCCAGCAAATTTTCTTGTCTCCCATTGTGCTTATTTGCCGCCAAACCATAGGGTAGGTAGGTCCTCCAAAAGAGGCGAAATCATCACTTCTACGGAATTGGATAAATGGATTCAACCATCACTGATAACTACAGTGACTACCGTAGTCAACTCCAGCCGGGTTTTTTTGAACTGCATACCACCAAGTTTGCAAAACCTGTCCGTATCCGGAGCAGGCCTTGTTCAAATTGAGGCAGGAGCTTGAGGCTGGCGTTGGCTCTGGCTAGCCCAGCATAGAGTCGGGTTGGAACTGTCACCAGTCTTGCCTTTCCATACCTCGTTACAACTAAACTGTGCCCTATCACAATTTAACTAGACCAAGCAAACGGAATGCCACCTCCACTAGTGCCTGCAATAATCAAACCTTGTATACCCCTTGATTGTCGTATGCCCTGGATTTTTTACCCGATGACATGTCCAAAGCGCCATGTCGCGACGTCGTTTCTCGATCCCATACCAACCGACGACACATTGTGTTTCAGTAACGACAGAGAGTTATTAGAAGAGGCTAAAAGCCAATTATATGGACAGATGGAGACGGAATGTATGCTGATTCCTGGTTGAAATGACGCCCAAAGCTGTAGACCAGGCGGTTCACAAGGCGGTAGATCAATATAGTCGTGCGGCGGTGAGGGACAAGGAACATGGGTATGGTCGCGGGGATCAAAGCAAAAGCCAAAGCTGCGGCGGTGATAGAGTGTCAAGATGAAGATGTGGTTGCTGTGAGCGTGGACTCCGTGCATGAAGAAGGTGTAGGGTTAGGGTTACCATTCTTCACCTGAGCATGTACGTAGTGGGGCGTCTCGACTCTTGTCTTGCATCCGCTTCCTACGCCTCACATGCGGCCAACTCCAGACTTACCACGCCCAACATCTCGTCATCGCCCACCATGGCCAACGAAGCCCCCCGGCCGAAGCTCCTCTGGAATTCCGACAATGTCAAAGACGTCGCCGAATCCGTTGGCATCAGCTCGCTCAACGACGAAGCCCTCAAGGCACTGACGCAGGACGTCGAGTATCGCATCGGCCAAGTCATCATCGAGGCGCTCCGCCTGATGCGCGCCGCTCGCAGAACCACCCTCACTGTCAACGACGTCTCCCTCGCACTCAAAGTCCTTGATGTAGAGCCTCTCTACGGATACGATTCCACGCGACCGCTTCGCTACGGCGAGGCGAGCCTTGGTCCCGGCCAACCGTTATTCTACATTGAAGACGAAGAGGTGGATTTTGAAAAGCTCATCAATGCGCCCTTACCCAAAGTTCCTCGCGACATGAACTTTACAGGTAAGCTGCCCATTCTCCCCCGTTGCCTCGATGTCGCTAATCCCCAAAAACAGCCCACTGGCTCGCAATCGAAGGCGTCCAGCCATCAATACCCCAGAACCCAACGACAGCCGAATCGCGCTCCCAAGAGCTGCTTCCCAAAGGCCCCGGCGCAAATCCCGCTCTCGCCGCCCTGGCCGGAAACGACAACGTGGCCGTCAAACCCTCCGTCAAACACATTGTCAGCAAAGAGCTCATTCTGTATTTTGACAAGATCCAGGCCGCCATTCTCGACGATAACCCCGACGAAGAAGTCGTCCGTCTGCGCCAAGCAGCACTGGGCTCTGTACGCGACGACCCGGGTCTGCACCAGCTTGTCCCGTACTTTATCAACTTCATCATGGACAGGGTGACGCACCACCTCGACGACACCTTTACACTCCGGCACATGATGGAGCTGACGAATGCCCTCATCGAAAACAAGAGCCTCTTCCTAGATCCATACGCCTCCTCGTTGTCCGCCCCGGCATTGACGTGCCTGATGGCCCGGAAGCTAGGCACCGATGACGGCGTGGACGCCATGAAGGACCAGTACGATCTGCGACAGCTGGCGGCGTCGTTGGTGGGCCGCATCGCCCGCAAGTACTCGGCCTCCAACACCCTGCTGCGTCCAAAGCTCACGCGCACGTGTCTCAAGTACTTCCTGGATCCCACGAAACCGCCTGCCGTTCTGTACGGAGCCATCTACGGACTCCTGGAAGCCGGTGGCCCCGAAGCCATTCGTGTCCTGGTGCTCCGCAACATGAAGACGTTCGACGCGGCTATTCTGCAGCCGATGAGGGACAGGTCCGAGGGCAGCATCGAATACGAGATGCTGGTGCAGGGTCTTGTGCAAGCAGTGGCATCGCTGGCGCAGCGTGGCGAACTGGGCGCTCCGAACGGGGTCAATGGTACTGCGTCGGACTCGGAGCTCTCCGAGCTGAGCGAGTTTATCGGATCAATCGTCGGGGGGAAGATTGCCGCCGCAGGTAATCGCGCTCTGGTGAGGACGATACTAGACGCTCGATCGCTGGCATAGCAGATTGGGCAGAGTCGGAGCAGCAGGGTAATAAGAGCTGGGAGGGATCGGCGAATTGGCGTTTGGGAGCGATATCAAAATGGCTTTGATTCACACGGGCTTGAGGGATAACCATAGCAAAACGTAGCTACTCCGTAGATAAATCGGAAGCCCAAAAAAAAAAAAAGAAACACTAATGAAAGAACCCGCCGTACGGCTGATACTCTACACGTGTGCACCACATAAAAGCGCACATACACCTGTCTGTCCATCCCTAACAAAACCATGTCCACTCCAGCCAACCTCCCGCATAATACAATTCATGATTTCTTTTCTTCTTCTTCTCTTCCTCCCTGGAATACCCTCCATTTACAGCCCGAAAGCCAAATACAGTCCACTCAGAATACTCGACGTCCAGAGCACCATCTCGCCCCTCTTGATGCTCGGCTTGGCGAAGCCCTTACCCAGGTCGAACCACAGGTGCCTCAGCCCGTTGATGAAGTGGTACGCAAACGGGAACCCGAGGAAGAACTTGACGCCGCCCTTGACGGCGAACGGCAGCGCGGCAAACGCCGACGCGAGGCTCGCCGTCTCCAGGTGCCACCCGGCCAGCGGCGCGACCAGGTACGCCCCGAAGTAGACGTACGCGGCGGCCGACAGCGTGCAGCCCGTGATGCGCGTCCACGCCGAGTGGCCCAGCCACGTCTGCTCGATCTTGTAGATGCCCAGGTTGGGCGAGACGGGGCGCTGCAGCCGCTGCTTCACGAGGATCTGGTGCCCGTCGTCTTGGGAGATTTTGGCCGTCGCCACGGGGCTACACGGGTCAGAAAGTCAGCAAAAATACCCCCGTCGCCAGAATTTATAAAAAAAAAAACGTACCGAGCTTGCATGCCGCCGGTGGCTACCTTGATGAAGGGGAAGAGGCTGGGCCGCGCGCCTGATGCCAATTAGATGCTGTGTCTTTAGTTACGGAGAAGAGGGAGGGGGCGTACCTCTGCGCAGGGCGGCGATGCCAACCCGCTGAGCAATCATTGTCGATTTCGGGAGTCCTGTTGGTGGTTTTGTCTTGTCGGCGGACGAGGGCGAGGGTTGGAGGAATCACGGCGGCTGCTTGGCCGGTCGGGAATGGCTGCTTGGCGGGCAGCTCGGTTCCCTCGGTCCAAGGCGCCAATCGGGGTGCGCCAATTCCTCATCTGCGAGGCACGTGATTCGACTCGCCTATATGGATCACGTGCGAGGACAACCCCCCACTGGTGCTCTGTAGTTGTGGTGCCGTGTGGATTGGGTTTTTTTTCTTCTCTCTTTCCTTTCTCTCCAGATAGTCACGAATGCTCGCTGCGCGCTGTCCTTGCTGGAGATGGGACGGCGTGGCCGCACGGTCTTTGCGACCGAGGGGCTTTCGGAGAGGGATTTGATCCGTCGTTAATCTCGGCACCGGGTTCAGCTGTCCTGGTGCCGTTTCATTTTGAGATCTACATTTCGGTGTCGTGTTTTTTTAATAACCTGGGCGTGCTGAAGATGCTCACTGGGTGATGTGAATGACGGCACGTGTGATGTGTGAATTCTGTACTGGCTGAACGGTTGAATAGCCGATGGTGCCTTTTCTTAAATTGACTTGCTGTCGTTGAGTCACGTCCAACTGCACAACCGCATCCGACAAACAGCATTATACTTGCGAGAAGCGATGCCTAGTATTGCCAATCGGGAGTCCGTAGACGCCTGTAGTAGAGTAGTTTCCAATCGTGTTATTGTACATATACCCGCGAGTGTCACGCCTCGTGGGAGCGGAGACGATTTCCCATTCCTCTTTGTTGCGCCCAAGAAACCAATGCCGCCTTTTAAATCATGTCATGTTTTCCAAAACAATGTGCCCCCCCTCGACTCCTGCCATGCACCTCTATCGAAATTGCCCCCCGTTCATATTGTTAGAATTGTCGCCTATCAAGCTGCCGTCGGTTGCCGCAGGAAACCCGCCGTACCCAAACATACCCACCGAAAGCTGTTCCTGGGGATTCATCATGTCTCCAAACATGTCCCAGTTGACGCTGGACATGTCGAGAAGGCCCCCCAAGAAGGGATCTACATTTGCACCCTGTTGCTGCTGCTGCACGAGATTTTGTTGCGGCATCTTTGAAGTTTGCGCGCTCTGAAATAGTGCGGCGGACTGCCGTTGAGCGTCGTTTTGGCCGAATATAGGAGGGGTTGCTCCTGATGACTGTATTGAAGACCGGGAGTCGTATGAAGGTAGAAGATCCCGCAGACGCTGGATGAACTGCGGTGTTTCTAAATGACGACCAGCTTGCAAAAAGGCCTGCTCGCGCAGTTTCCACCCCTTCAGTGTGATTTGGGCCTGGACGGAATATTGCTTCTGCGACATGTCAAATAGTTCCGTGTGATAACCGTAGAGCCGCTCGACGCCCACCCAGCCGCGATCCGCCAAGCTGCCGGTAGGCCGTTGGCACAATTGCCCAGTCATGACGGCAAACACGTCGAGCTGAAAATACGACTTGACAAACCAGAGAAACCCACACTCGGTCATGGGTTGATACTGATCCAGTCTCTGTTCGGTCCCTAGGACAAAAATCTTGAACAGATTGTCTTTGGGACCAAAAATCTCGGTGCCATACTCGGGTTGCTCGTGAATTGGCACCATCATGTCTTGAATCCTTCCCAAAAGCATCTGCCGGACGCCTTTCGCAGCCTTGTGCACGTTGCCAGCATTGCCATCGATGTATTTTTGTTCCATGGCCAGAAGGTTTTCGTCAAGCTCTCGACACTGTTGACGGAATTTGGCAAAAATGTTTTGATGCATGGCATTTGAAGCGTCCTTGTCTGGGCTCAGATCTTGTCCCAGGATGGCAGCCTCAAAGGCCTGGCCGTTGTTGTTCTTGTCCGTATGCAGCTTGAACCTATATATTTCATTCATAACCATGACAAACGCCATTTCAGTGGGGCCATCTCGAGGTTGTATTTTCTCAGTTGACCCTGGGAAGAGATCTGCGTCGTTGACGTTTTGTGGTGTCTTGGTATCCCAGTGTAGGGGCTGCAGGGACTGGCTGAGGCCAGATAACATGGCATACTTGGAGTCTTGGACGATAATCTGCCACCAAAGGCGGCGGCGCATTTCTGTCTCGTAAGGCTCCAGGCCAAGAATCTCGCCATCGCGGTGATATCCCATCTTTTGCGCGATGCGGACAACAGTACCAGTAAGCACCCATGCAGCATGACGATCATACCGTCCTTGTAAGCAGTGCTACTCCAAATATTAGTTTTCAGCACCAGGTGGCGATTTTGATAACAGAAACAGACGTACCATGAAATGAACCAGAGCCTGTAGAGCGGTCATGTTGTAGTTTTTCAAAAAGTTGAATCGTATCAAAGCTACTTTTGTTCCGGCCAGGAACTTTTGAATAGCTGACTCCCGGGACATGCCGAGTAGCTGGATGGACTCGGCTTCACTCAAGGAGACAGCTGCGCTCGTGTAAATAGACAAGACAAGTGCTTGCTGGTAATGTTGCAGGCTGGCAATGTTGGTGGCACCCTCCATGACCATTGGTTGGACGGTAGGGACGTGGACCACCTTGAACAGGGGATTTACACGCTCCAAGAAGAGTTGCCATAGCTTGAAGGCATGGATTGGATCTGGAACGAGATCCTCGATGTTGGCAGTGGAGAGGTCCCCAGGAAAAAACAAGTCGGTATTGTTCTCCGGGGTGAGCTCTTCTGAGCCAAGTATACTTGAGTCCTCGGGATCCTCCGTGTCAACAATGTCTCGCATGGCTTGCAGCTATTCATCAGTCAGCACAAATCAGTTGGCTCAAGGGCTTCCCGGTCGCTACAAGACCACACGACGGTAGGCAGTCGCACAGCCAGGCTCGGTTTCATAGCACAATGGCAAAAAATCGTACCTCTTCATATACTGTGGCCCAGATATAGCTGTCCATAAACCGAACACTCCCATCGTCATTGACCATCCGACATGCCGGCTTCCAATTACTTGAGTTGTCCGAGCCCAAGGGCGTCGGTTCCGATTTATCCGACCTCGCAAGGTGGTCCGTTGCTGGTGTCTCGGTCTGTTGCGGCGGCGGCGGCAGCGGCTGCTGACCTGGAGCAGAGCCATTGGCGTATTGTTTCAGCAGTTCTTCGCATCGCGCCAGACGCTCTTGAAGGTCCTGGTTGGGGCGACGGCGTTTACGAGCAGGCGCCGGTGTGCTCGGAACACATGTGACGTTTGCCTAGGGCGGAGTGAGCTTGGAGTTCTTTGCAATATTCTGCCTCATCGAGGTATCCAGGCTCCCAGAAAGCGGGACCCAAGCAAACAGGTGGGATAAGATGGGGAGGATCCCCCCCGACCTTGCGGCGCGATGGCGCGTGCCGTACCTTGATGCAGTTGGAGCAAGGCGAGTTGCGATCGCATTTGATTTTCCGATGTTGGCAGAGGACACATGCCAGAATTCGAGCATGCCTCTGTGGCGCCGCTGGCGAAACAGTTGGTGACATGACGGGGCTCGATTCTTGTCACATACCAGACGGAGCGAAGTAGAGGGCCTGGGAGGGGTAATCAATGGTCGCAAAAAGGATATCAATAGAGATCAAGAACCAGAAACCAGTCTCGCAACGGGTTCATACTCTGTATAGTCTGGCACAAGATAGGTGACACATATACCGGGTGGAAAAAATGCGACCTAAGCTGACGAAGAAGTCGGTTAGAAGTCTGACGTTAGTGAAGCCAATCTGAAGGTGTGGCGAGGCGCTAAGGCCAAGGGATCCATGGGTACTCCGGCCGGAGACCTGGCTGTGCGGCGTGCGGCTGGGCGTTGCCTTGAAATGTCCGCTGACGACGGCGAAAGGCAGGAGCGAGCGAGGGGCTGGCTGCACATGCAAGTTCGAGGGTTGGGTTTCAAGGTAGAAGAGGGGGGGTTGTAAACATAAATGTATACCGAAGACCAACCAAGGTAATTTCACGCTTCCATGACAGAAACGAGAGCCTTGGAGATGATTCCGCAACGAACGTGGCAGGACATGAGAATTCGGCTGCCTACTCACCTTTGAAACACTTGGGCGCTGCCTGGTCCGTATCTCGAATTCGAGATCTCAATCGCATGCTTGGCGACAGTCTCCTCCACCGACGTGGACATGTACGGCGGGGGTCCCCGATATAACAGGGCCTTGGAGGCAACATTAAGGCACATGGAACCCAGCGGCTTTGGTGGATCCATGATATCAAAAATCTCCTTTTCTGCTTTGCATCCATCCATGAAGCGTCTGGTCGAATACATACGTCAGCCACGTATGTCAGCCCGTCGCCAACTTGAAAATGTTAATACGGCATCTCGACAGACTTTTAGAACGGACCGGCTACCCATCTTCCTGAACATACTTGGAACTGCGAGAAAATAAAAAAACCGGCCTGGGCCACCCGGTAGAGTCATCGGTCACGCGGCCTGAATGTCAACAGACCTGGTACGAAATAGGATCGGAAGCCAGACCCGAAAGCCAAGCAACCACCGTGAATGGTGGCTGAAGCCAGGGGCCAATCCCTCGGTCGCTCGACTTGGTCCATCTCGTTCTGTTACGAGAATGTGACTCAACAGCACTAGACTGTTTGCCTAGTCTTTCCAAATGAAGCCTGGCCGTTCCGTCCTGATGCATCTGGTCTGGGGAACTGATCGACGGAGCTTCGTCGAGTACTACTAGTATGACTCCATGTCGACATCAGTGCCAAGTGCTTTTGGGGCTGCCATGACAACCCTTCACCGGCTCAGTCTCCATCAACTACGAAATCAGCCATGTCGCAATCGTGCTGCGGTGGACACGGCGTAGGGAGTACACAATGCTAAAACGAGGCTTTGCGATGGAGGACCGAGATGGCTGCCTACTTGGGTTCTTGTGCGGAGATGACACCAGGCTGCTTATCAACCAGTTGCTGAGCACACGAGGCCCCGAGCGGCTTTGGTGGACTTGTTGCGGAGGAGACAGGACGGTAGGGCTAGGAACTCCGCCAGCTACCGGATGGCATGCCCTTGCGGTTGGCTGCGGGAGATGCTCCGCTACTTGGCACAGACCAGCAGCATCGAGTTGCAAACTTTATTCAACGTTGAACATCTTTCAATCTTCTTTCTTCCAGTAAAGCCCCACTAGAACCAAGAGATTGATATGGAAACAACCCGAGACCAATATGTCGAGGAGAGCTGGGCAAGGGGTTTGAAATTTTGTTGCCTTGAACAACCTGGTCCTGCTGCCTGGGCCAGGCATCACAACGGATCTGTTGGCCTGTTTTGAACAGTCGGAGGCGCCAAACATTGACCATCATTGCGTGTCATGCATGGCATACTGTGACAGGCGAAATGGGTGTCCCCAGTGGCCTCTTTTGTTGAACAAGGATAGTAATAGCGGGGCTCCTGGATTTGAACTCCGTTTATCAGCATCCTAATGCAGTCAAGGACGCCATGGTTGGGCGACGCGAGGCTCTCGAAAGCGCTTTGCGATTTGCAAGTGACATTCCACGATTCATCGAATCACTACAAGGCGGCGACGGAGAATGATTCTCGTAGAAATTTTGTGATTTTAATGTACGTAGCTTTTGGCGGCAGTTCAAAGTTTTTTCGTTTTAGACTAGATTCACTATGCGATAATAAATCAGGGAGCTGCAGTATAACACGTCATCACTGCTAGCAATTGCTTGTGATACCTCAGAATCCACCCTCGGAATCCACACTCATTGCTTCTATGTGCAGAGGCGCTTGAGTCTTCAACTCCTCCGCGATCACCTGTCTTTGTCAAGCGCTTATCCGGCGAATGTGGCTGTGGAACTGATGATCAAAGCTTCCTCTTCTACCCCAAATCAAGGGGGGCACATACCTCGGCCCCCTGCATGATGGCGAAGCCTCTCCATCGACACTAGTCATCTCTCGAAGGATTCACCAATTTCTCATCTAGCACTCCTTTACAAGATACCGAGCGACTTCAAGCGAAGACCCTGTTAGATTGTCGAATATTACGAGAACCAAACAGATATTACAACAAATAGTATATAACCGACCGAAACTCTTGCGCTTGACATTCGAATATGCCATCACAGAAGACTCCCAAGATAATGCTTTACGCGCTTTTTTTTTTAACTCAATCGGCTTGCCAATGACAGGAGATGTTGATTCATCGTGCAAAGAAACAGAAGCAAAACACGAGGCGAATGTTTCCCCCATAAAGCTCGTAACTCTCTTTGTCCATGCAAATAATGGGAGAGTCAGACTCTAAGCCAACCTTTCTTGACTTTGGACTATTTTCCTTCTTTGTGCTATTGGTAGCTAGTTTTATTTGTCCGACAAAATCAACCTCTACTCGTTGTACTTTACCTACGCAGTCTCAAATATGCCGTCAGATGGCTTGTTTTACAACCACACACCCGCGAGCTGCCCGGAACAGCACCCGGCTCAACCAACACCTTCTCTCCTAGGCTACGAAGCTCATTGCAAAATATGGTGGGCAGGGTGTATCGGCCCATTGTGAAATTTATAGTCTCAAGCGCCGAGACACAGCAGGCTCGGCTGCGACAACAGCTCGGAGGCTGGCTTCCGGTCTGGAAAACACCCGAAGCATACCTGGTAGAACCGCCGACGCCTTTCCCCACCGGCAGGGCCTTGTTTCCAACAGTCCGGTTCTATAATCATGCTCAGGGTATGGCAGTCGATGAAGTCACTACAAGTATGTGGCGCGGGTAAGAGTGTTTGTCACACCAGGCTGTAATGTTCTCCTGCAAAACGGCAAGATAGCCTAAACCAGATACTATCCGTCGTGGATCCCCCACAAAAACGAGGCCAATCAATGGAACTCAACGCTTCTTTTGAATGGATTTCAAATTTTCAACCCGAAAGACGTCGGAAGGTTACGCACAGTGTCTTGGGGACAGGAGGCTCCCATCCCCCCGTCAGAGTATCGTCTATATAAGGCCCAGAATATCGAGTCGCTGGGTAATCAATCGTTCATAGGAGTATGGAGGACCAGACAAGCTAGCCAAAGGGGAGTAGGCATGGCCAGTAACTGTCGCTTGGTTCGTGCTATATATAGTAGTGTCGACCAGGAACGCCGGTAGTTCGAACTGATGGCACTACTATATAGGTCAGTGGTCAAACTTGGTATCAACTGTGTCCAACTGCGAGGCCATGTTTACTAGTATGTAGCTTTCGGTATCATTGGGAAGATGTCTTTTAATTGCGATAGCGTTTGGCGCCACGCCATTGATTCGCAGGGCTGGGGATAACTAGGTTCTTGAGAGCCGATCGAGGTGCAAGTTTGCTCCAAGATGTGAGAGTAGGCAAGGTAGTTGTTACAAACAAGGTCAGCGAGGCATGGAGCCAAAATGTTTGCGAGGTTAATCTCCTGATGTGCAGGAGACAATTGGCTGCCGAGATCTTGAGGAATGAGTCAATCGACATGTTTCGACAAGGTTGGAGTGGATGGTGCTGCCCTGTTATTGAGGTGAATATGTATGAAGACGGCTTGGCAAACGGAAAGTCGTAAATTGTCATCACGATATACGTGGTGAAGGGCATCAATTGGAAAATATCGAGCCTATATCCGGACTTGACGCTCGTGATCCATCAGGGTCGGCCGATGCCTTAGCCTCGCCCCCTTTTTGCGCATCAACAGCAACGAGTGCCAGTTTGGTCTTCTTCTTCACCGCTCGTCTATGCCCCACGCTCTTTACGTGCCTCTCCCATGCCTGCTCCGTCACTAATACCGTCCGGCACATGTCACATGTTCTCTTAATCGGTGTCTCCTTGGGCCTCAACTCAAGCGCACCGCCGAGGACTTCTCTCGCCATTTCAGAAATGTCCACCGCCGCTGGCCGTTGCTCCCCTTTCAAAAACAACTCCGTCAGCTTCGCCGCCGGTTCGACTACATTCGTCTGAAACCGAGACACGTCTGTGCTATCAACTAGATACAAGCTGCTGACTGCTTCAGGACCCTCATCCTGCAGCCGGCGCATTTGTTTGATGCGAATCCATTTCGTCTGGTAGTTTGCGTAACGTCTCGTTGCGGTCTTCATGTCCTCCAGGCCAGATAGCTTCAGCTTTTCGGCTTCCGTAGCATCTGCCCCTGCTTCGAGGGCGTTTACATATGGTTCGAATTGCTTGTAGCCTATAGACTGCCATATCCCCTTTGTCATGTCCATTTCTTGGCCTTTTTCTCTGGCTTTTTTCTTGAAGGCGTATAGCTCATGGACCTCGTCTAGAAGCCCGGAATTGAGCATCTTGTCACACCGCTTGTCAAGGCGCTCGGTAAGAATTTGCCTGTCGGAATAGACCCAAAACAAAAGCTTCTCCCAGGGTGTGGCAGGGATGTCTCCGCTGGCGGCGGCCGCTTTGCGCGCCTCTTGCTCAGCATAGAACTGCGAGGCCGGCTTCCCTGTATGCAGGTAGATCTCTAGCGACCGCAGGATTTTGCGGCGGTCGTTGGGGTGCCACCTTTCTGCCATGACGGGATCGCATTTCCGGAGC